AGCCAGACTACCCGCACTTAGCATAAATAAACTAGTTGAAAGTTTTTTCGGGTTCTTCTGAAATGAGTGAAATATCATTGATTTTTTCTGAAAATATACAACTTGAAAAGAATATTTGGTATTCAGATTTCGTGACACATCTTAAATAAAACAGTAAACCTAATTTCAACGTTACCCAACATCGGACATCTGAAAAAGTAGGATTTGGAATGATAATCAGATCATTCTGATTTTTAAAGTTTTACTCCTTTTGGTGCGCTAAAGAAAAATGAGTGTGAATTTTTATGATACGCGCGCCCATCGTTACGAAAAACGGACACCCTGAAGTTGGATTCTTCTTCTTTAATTTATATGGCCGTTGCGCATTTGGCCAGACTTCCCCAGCCCATAGTGAACAGAAGCTTCGACAGAGGGCCCTGTCTTGCTCGAGACAATGCTGCCACCTCAAGTTTTTAACGATTATTCGAATTTTCTTTAATTACTATTACCCACAAACGTATCAAACTTTTGAATCCCCTAGAGATGGCACTGAACAGGTAAATTTGAAGAACTTGTTCGAACTGTTCCAGTTCTTATGGAAAAACCTGTTCTTTTCAACTGTTCATGTTCACCTATTTTTGAATGACGTCTCATCTTGCGTCATGGTCACTTTTTAGCATTCGGTTCCGAGTGGTTCCGAATTTCCGTACGTCCCCTCCCTGTTGTTCTAGAGTTTTATTTCAATAACACGCTGAATTTTGGTGCAAAATGAATAGAAGATCAAGCCCTACTTGGAATTTTTTTCAATCACAGAGAAACAACTGCAACTAGCAAATGAATAGAAGATCAAGCCCTACTTGGAATTTTTTTCAATCATAGAGAAACAACTACAACTAGCAACATGTGAAATTTGCAAGCAGGTTATTTCCTTCAAATCCTCCGTGACAAATTTAAAGCATAATATACTTAAAGAACACCCCACGGTAAAAATTCTGGGGGATTCAATCCCCCAGTTTCGGACTTCAGCCCACTTGACCTAAGAAAAGCAAAGGTTAGTTGCTTCCAAACGAAGAGATCTTCAATGTTGGTGAAGATCTCGAGCATCAACTTATCCTTGTGTAGTTGCAATTGATCCCTGCAGCTTTAATGAGGTCTTCTGCTGACCAGGTTCCAACTTGGTGACAGAGTTGTGGGTAATGCTGAACAAGCATTGAAAAGTAAACCAAATTCATTCAATTCCTGCTTTCTTATGGTCGTGGAGCATGCAGAAAAAAGGGTCAGAACACCTGGTGGCTCCATGTGATACCATACTGTTCTGCAGCTCCCCCTAACTAATAATAATAACTAGTAATACTAGTATTACTGTGAAAAAAGCGTGGGCGCTTTGAGCCATATTTTTGTATATCAGGCGCCCGTCGGTTTTTTCATAATAATACTAGTATTTTCCGTTCGTTATTGTTTTAAGCTTATTTAAAAAAATTATTTTTAACTTTTCAGTTCGATGTTCTTTAAAAGCGTGTTTTTTAGTTTTTTCAA